CACCGGGGGAAAGAATTCTGGGAAGGAAAAATACATTATCTCGTTAAAAGAAAAATTATTGCTCTTATCTGTTTAGCAAGTGTGAAGATCAAGCCACCTTCCTGAGAGGTAGTCCATTTAACCAGGTGATTGAACAGCCCAACTGGATTCATCTGGATCCCACCACGTGGTAGAAACCTAGCTCTCTGATGACCATGGCTCCCACACCAACCTATCATCTGATATATTGTGTGCGTATTTCAAGGACCAGCAGAGAGAACTCCCAACTGTCCCTAGGCCTTTGCTTGGCTTGGCCCATCCACCTGCTTACCCATCTGAACCTAAATCCACTGTTTCCTGCTCCGGACAACAGTTTTGCCTTTCACCTTTCAGCTATACTCCATCTTTGTGGTGGTTTGCAGAAGTGTCTCCCATATGCACAAGCATTTGAATACTTGGTCAGCCGGTGATGTTATTTTGGGAGGTTCATGGAAACTTTAGGAGATGTAGCCTTGCTGAAGGAAGCTCTTCACTGAGGGTGGATTTTGAGAGTTCATAGCCTGTCTCTCTTCCAGTTGCTTTCTCTGCTCCTGCGAGTGGTTAAAAATGTGGATTCTCAGCTTTCTGTCCTGGTTGTCTCAAACCATGCCTTCCTTGCCATGATGGACTCTTATTTCTCTGAAACCATAAGCCCAAACAAACTCTTCCTTCTATAAGTTGCCTTGGTCATGGTGTTTGACTCCTGTCCCTCTGAAATTGTAAGCCCAAATAAACATTTTCATCTATAATCTGTTTTGGTCATTATCACAGAAACAGGAGAATAACTAACACAGAACTTAATACCAGAGAGTGTGATATTACTATGAATAACCTGACCATGTTGTTTTTACAGAGGAATGTGAAGGACTTTGGAGCTTTGGACAAGAAAATCTGCTGAATGCTGTAAGCAGAACTTCATGATCCAGTCCAGTAGGAGCCTGGAAAAAAGTTGTGCTGAGAACCACAGGAAGCAAGGACTTAAACAGCAACTAGGGTAGAGATCATTCCTGTCATATTTGGTAAAGAATTTGGCTGCCTCTGCCTGAGGCTAAATTAAAAGATAATAAAGGAAATTTCAAGACAGCCTAATGTTGAATCTATGACTTGGTTATTATTGATAAGTTTTATGCAGATGTACAATAAAAAAGAGCAAGTAGGGCAGAAAGAAATACAAAGTGTACAGGGTGGAAAGAAAGAGCACTAGGAGCTTAATGTTGCCACCAAGCTTATATCCTGGAAGAGATGCTGCTATTGATAAGATTATCACAATTACAGAGAAAGCTCCAGCTTGGTATTAAAACAATGGATATAGTGACCTCAGAACAAGAACCCCAAGGAGCTAAGCTTCCAGCTTGTGAAGGGAAACAACCAAAGGGGTTTTCTGTTCCTACAAAACCACAACAAATAAAAACTGTTGATAACGTGGTTGAAGAAGTCCAAGACCCATCCCAGGTTGGCAGTCTAAATTGGCAAGGTACTCCACCTGGTACTGGCTTTGGAGGCATGAAAGATGTAAGACTTAAGAGGTCATCAATTCTTCCTCCCTGGTTTCAGAGAGCCACTGAAGTCAGGCAGCATGTAGTGGGGAACTCTCTGCATACCAAAGGCTCTAAGAGGCCCAGAAACCATGAGAGGCCATTGTGTGAAGCTTTGAAAGTGAAGACTGGATTGTAGTGGAGACCCAAACATGTTGGAGATGCCAGAGCTGTGATAACATCTGCCAAAGGGAGCTGTATACAGGGAGTGGAACCAGCCAAAGGCAGAGATGTAAGTTGCAGGCAGCAAAGCTGGAATGGCAGAGTTATTAAACCCTTTGAAACTAAAGTCCCAAATATTGGACATAGAACTACAGGATTTGGTGCTTGCATTGCTGGTTTCTGGTCTTGCCTCTGGTCTGGTATTTCCTCACTATGCCCCCATTCCTACCCTCAAGAAAGGGAATGTATATTTGGTCCCATTGTATGTTGGAGGTATGTGACTTGCTTTTTTATTTTACAGGAGTCACAATTAAGAGATTTCCTTGAGTCTCAGAATAGACTTACACCTTTGGAATTTGGATAGTGTTGAGACTATGGTCCTTTTAAAGTTGGACTAAATGCATTTTTCATTATGATATGATCAAGAGCCTTTGGGGACCAGGGAGTGGTATGGGGTTGTTTGAATGAGAAATGTCCCCCATAGACTCAAGCATTTGAATACTTGACCAGTTGTTATTGGTGATGGTGGTGCTGAGGAGAGTCATGAAACCTTTAGGAGATGCAGCCTTGCTGAAGGAAGCTCTTCATTGGGATGGCCTTTGACTGTTGATGGCCTTGTCCCATTTCCAGCTGCCCTCTCTGCTTCCTATGAGTGATTAATGACAGGAGCTCTGAGCTTTCTACTCTGGCTGCCTCCTGCCATGGCTCCCCTTCCATGATGGACTCTTCCCCTTCCAAAACCATAAGCCTAAATAAACTCTTCTCTTTATAAGTTGCCTTTGTCATGGTGTTTTATCACAGAAACAGAGAGGTAGCCAATACAACCTACAGCCTTGTTTACAACCCTGACTTTCATGGTGAGTTTTGGGTTCATTATCTTATCAATACATTTTCTGCTTATATTTCTCTCCACTCACTTCTGAAACCTCTTGAACTGTGCTATAGTCTCTTTAACTTGCATTCATTCTATAACCCGCATCTATAGGAATGTATATAGGAAAATATTTACTGTGTGCTTTGTCATATGAGAGTTAATATTAGTAATTAAGATTGAAATAAAAAACTTACATTTGCCTCAACCAGATTACCAAGATAGGCAGGATTATATGGCAACTTGCAGCCATTGAAACTGCTGTACCTTGTGAATTTACTGTTATTTAACAAATTTTGACATTGTGGAAAATCACAAATGTGTTCCTCTGTTTCTTGCATAGTGTGCTCATTACAAGGAACTTGCAGTCATAGGAGAAAATTGTCTCCCAGAGAAAGATTTATAATTTGTTAAGCGATGTGTTAATCAGAGTTCTCTAGAAGAACAAAGCCAATAGAATGAATACATATTGAAAGGGGATTTGTTAGATTGGCTTATATGATGCAATCTGAGTAATACAACAATGGCAGTCGCACACCAGAGAGGCTAAGGCCATGATAGTTACTAAGTCCATGTGGCTAAATGTCTCACCAGTCCTAATCTGGTACTGAAGCCTTAGAAGATTCCTGGAGAGCTGCCGGTCTTCAGTCTACATAGGAAGTCTGAAGAAGGTAGTTCTAAATCAGCAAAGTAAAGCGACAATGGCAGCTACAGAATAGATGAACTTCCACGCGAGAGTGAAAGCAAACAGCAGAACTTTCCTTCTTCCATGTCCTTTTCTCTGAACTGCCACCAGAAGGGGCTGCCTGTGTTTAGAGTGGGTCTTCCAAGTTCAGATAATGTGATCAAAGAAGTTCCTTACAGGAGTGCCTGGTGGCTTGCCTTTTAGCTGATTCCAGATCCAGTTAAATTGACAACCAAGACCATAGTGACCTTTCAAGAGCACCTGGAGCTGAGACAATGGTATACAGTGGACAACACCCTGACCAGACTCCTTACTCTTGTCTTCTATTTAAACCTTACCTTTCTATCAAGACCTTGAAATGAACTTGAACATTCTCTGAATCTCTTTATCCCTCTTCCCAACATGACTTGTGAATGAAAGTTCCCAGAAAAATCCTGCATCTTGGACTGGAACTTCCTGCGAGGCTGACCAACTGGTTAGCACTTCAATGACTGTGGAGAGTTTGGGACGTCGAAGATACAGAGCCTGTTTACACTTTATCCTGGGCCAGGTTTATCCCCTAAATATCCACTCCTTGCTCACCTCTATTTCTGACTTAACATCTTGTGACTAACAGAAGCTATTAACAAAGAAACGGTTCTTAGCAACCAAAAGACGAAGAATGTCATCAGACAGCATCTGAGACCTATGGTAGAAGCCCCTGCTTTGCTATGACCCACTTACTGAATGTTTCCACCAATGTATTTAAAGACTGTTGATTTATGACTTCTTTGTTCTGTTACTATAGGAAGTTTAGGAAATTGCTACCTCATTAGAACAGGGTATTTGGAGAAACTGAAATCTGTGTTCCAGGTCACAATGCCTCATATTTGATCCAGGAAAAAAAACATCTTTTTTATTCCCTTGAGATGAGAGCTATGTATTTTGTTGACAGATTATATTAAATAAATTTCCTTCTTCTGGTTTTCACTATTAATTTGGCCTTTTTAACTGGCTTATTGAGGATGGGGAGCTGAACCTGGTTGGGGGGTGCATGGGCTGTGGCCTTATGTCTTTTAGCACTATTGCTGAGACTGTCTGCTTTTTTTTCTTATCTCTGACTAAGAAAGCATGATTTTCTCTTTTCCTCTTATCCAACTCCCCTGAGGATGGGGAGCTGAACCTGGTTGGGGGGTGCATGGGCTGTGGCCTCATGTCTTTTAGCACTATTGCTGAGACTGTCTGCTTTTTTTTATCTCTGACTAAGAAAGCATGATTTTCTCTTTTCCTCTTATCCAACTCCCTCCTCCTTGTCCCTACAAGATCTAGTCTGCCTTGTTTATTTTTTATTTTTGTATTTTTCATATTGCTGAGACTGTCTGCTTTTTTTTCTTATCTCTGACTAAGAAAGCATGATTTTCTCTTTTCCTCTTATCCAACTCCCTCCTCCTTGTCCCTACAAGATCTAGTCTGCCTTGTTTATTTTTTATTTTTGTATTTTTCATCTCAAACTCCAATAAAATTGTCCCTGGGTTTATTTCTCAAATCATTTAAAATGTTTCCCATCTACAAAAACTTACGAAAGTTCTTGTTTCTCAGTTACACAACTAACATAGAAACAAGGGTGAAATAAAACTTCCCCAACAGGAAGAACTGGGAGGTGCCCTCTCTGAGGATGGGTTCAACCCCTTCCCTCCCACAGACAGCCTTGTGAACTGAGGTTGGCAGTCAGCAGCCTAGCAGCCTAGAGAAAGGAGTGAGCACACTCTCCTTGCACTTCTGTCTGGAACAACAGAAGATGTGAATTTGGCCTCGAGGAGACAAGTAAGTGGAACTAAAGAAGAAATAGAAACTGATGCAAACAATTGAGGGAACAGTTAGGGAGACACAGGGATTGTGACATGTTAAAACCTCAGATAGGAATTTGGCATTGCCATTTGTCATGCTACTAGATTCTAAGGTTCATACTGAAACCAGACTTCGAACCCTATAACAATTAACAAAAAAAAAAAACACAAATAATTGTAAATTCTGTTCTTTATCCCAAGAGACATGGTTCCCCCAACCCGTCTTTTGTTAGCATATCTTATAGAAAACCAGAACAAAGGGAATAAATCCTATCTTCAGTATCAGTGGCAGTCATTAAATGCTGTGTGAGGTTTTGGCCAGAAAACAGAATTAAAGAAACCAAGAAACACAACAGCATGACAACCATGCTTAGTTAGGCAAAGCAGACAAGTGACAGTGAGGGAAGCCACCAATAATGCTTCCTATGGATTCCAAATGAGCCCCAAGAAGACATCCCTGTGACAGGAACAGAGACCTCTCCACTCCACCTCCCCCACCTCCCCGCCCCCAGCAGCCTGAAGCCTTCACTTTCCCCTTAGGGACCTGTATTCAGGCCAAGCTGAGATTTCCGGCTTCACCACAGAAAAGGATTGTAGAGTAAGTCAGTATGAAACAAAGTTAGATTTATTAAAAATAGAAAGAAAAGCACTCTGAAGAACAGAAAGTGCAAGTATGGGCTTCTAAAGAGAGAGAGGCACTTAGGTGTCTACAATAGGAAAGTATTTTGGGTGTCTCGAGTTCCATGTCTAAAAGTTAAGAAACACTCACCCATTTTTAACGTTGCTTAAAAAAACGTAGCTCACTGTGAGGTTAAAAGCTAAAAATGTCGTATAAACCCATCTTAATCTGGATTTATGAGTTTGTTTTGACTTAGAAGTGAGAGGGAAGTGCTAGAAAGCTTCAAATAAAGACTTTATCTGACTCTAGTTAAACGCAGTTTATTTAGTGTCCCGACAAGCTATCTTTTTGGATAAGCTATCTTATGAAGCAAGAAACTGGAATTTTGTGCTGTCTCCCAGGGAAATTTGGGCTTTATCAGTAGTACCTGAAATTCCCAAACTCTAACAGCCAGACAAGCAATCCAGGTCTGGGATGAAACACCTGATTTCCTCTCACCTCCCCCAATACACATATCCTTGTAACTGTTTCTATATATCCAGCCTCAGGAAAAAAGGGAGGGCATATTCTATGCAAGCAAACAATTTCGTGATTTTCACTGTCATATAAAAATGAGCTAGAATGGGGGAGAGAGAGACTTTATTTGAAAGGATTATTTAGAGACATTATTACAAAGAGACTACTTTGAGAGGGAGAATAATCCAAGAATAAGTATCTCATTGTATGTATGTATGAAATTCTCGAGAATAAAGATGTTGCCTTTTTTGATAAAAGCTACAAGCATCTCAAAAGCCAAACATAAAGGGATAATTTTTCTATGGAAGAGTGCACAGAACTAGAAAGAGGTCAATATGGGGCAGGGAGATAAATATGGAATGTTCGCCATCAGGTCTACCTACTGAGACCCAATAAGTTGTATCCTAACTCTGATTGGAGGAACATACAGAGCTCACGAGCCTTGGGAAAGAAGAACCTACTCTTGGCAAAGGTAATAAACACTCTGTTTCTAAAAGATCAATGGGAATAAATATTTTGCTAATCATTTTTTTATATTGTGTATAAGCTTGAGGTGGGGGTGTGGGAGTGGGAGTACATGGGTGTGCCTGTGCTACTGAGTGCTTGTGGCGGTCAGAGGACAACCCTTGGGTTGTAGGTTTGGGGGATCAAATATGCAAGCTCTCAAGTTTGCCCTTGTGTGGCCCAACCCATCTAGCTGGCCCCAATTATAAAGCCATAAATTAGAATTCGAATGGCCTGTGCCTGGCTTGGCTTGTGTTGGGAGAGAGAGAGAAAGAGGTCTCATCTAAGTCTTATAAGAAAGAGTAGTTTATTCATCTTAAATTTTAAATCCTGCCAATCCACACTTAAAGGGATAGCTTGCCATGAACAGTGATTCTTTGCATTACATGTTTCCATAACTTTCAGCATGCACCTGCGATCGAGCAGCCCAAGGGTGCTAGGCTTGTCATCAGTCTTGATAGGTCTATTAAAGAGACAACTAATGGTATAAAGTAGAGAAAGATGATTTGTTCAATACGTCCACATTAGGAGGAGCTAATAAAGGGACTCAATGTTACCCCAAATCCATGTTTAAGGTATTTGCATAAGGTTTATATTTTATAAATCTTTAAAAAATATTTTTATTATCTAATGTATATGAGTGTTTTGCCTGCATTTATGTAAGTGCACCCATGTCATGCAGTGCCTGCAGAGGTCAGAAGATAGCCTCAGATCCCCTGGAACTGGAATTACAGATGGTTGTTAGCCTCCATACGGGTGCTTAGAAATCAAACTCGGGTCCTCTGCAAGAGCAGTCAGTGCTCTTAAGCACTGAATGATCTCTCCAGTCCCAAACATGAGGTTTATATTTAAATAGAGACTAGAAAGTATGCAAAGTTGTGCAGTCCTTATCAAGGTACAGCCCAATCCATCAGCGACCCATCATTGTCTAAGCTGTGATTCTACAACATGGTCAGTCTGAAAGGAGGACCCATAAGTTGATAGTCTGTTAAGCACCCTGGGTGCAGTCTCTTCCTCTGGGGTAATGGTCTCCATCTTGGATGTGAGTGGTTTATCCCTCCTTTGGTTTTCCTTGAATTCAGTGTTACTTAAGAGGAAAAATTAAGGACAATAACTTCTCTGTGCCCTCAGCCAAAGACCAGGCACACAATGCAGACAAAGCTATCAGGCTTTCATCCTGTTTTTAGTTACCTTCTGGGCCCAAATGAATAGTCAGTCAATGCTTTTTAGCAAAAGGAGTTTTGAAGTGTCTCCTTCAGGTTCAGCAGCACCACCAACTGGGGACAAAATGTTCAAACATATGAGCCTGTGGAAGATGCTTCAGACTCAAAACAAAAGAGGTGTCTTGGTTAACTCTAAGCTTTGGCAATTATGAATAAACCTTCTACGTACATCTGTGTGCAGACTGTTCTATAAGCATAAGTTTTCAACTCCTTAGTGAAAATACCCAGGAGTATGATTGCCTTGGTCTATGATAACTATGTTTAGCTTTACAAAAACACAAGCTGTCTTCATTAGTGGTGCTATCTTTTGGAATTCACACCTGTTGCTCTACTCCCTTCCATGCATGGTGCCTTGTCAGGAGCACAGATGTTGCCAAGTTTAGTAACAGTGGTATATCACTGTCATTATAGTTTTCATTTCCCAAGTGGCACATGGTGTAAAGGTCTTTTCCAATTCTTCTATGCATCTGTTAATTGTCTTTGGTGAAGGGTCTATTAAGGTCTTTGACTCAGTTTTGCACCTGGATTGTTCATTTTCATAGTGTTGAGTTTAACAGTTCCTTGTATGTTTTCAATAACACTGCGTTACAGGATGTTTTATATTTTTTCCCGGCCTACGGATTGCATTATTCTCTTTATTTTATTTTTATTTTTTACTAAGTTTTTGTGCATTTTATATAATACATCTTAATCAAATTTAGTCTCCCTGCCTGTCCCTGCCATCCATAGCCCCACACATACACACCAGATTTCAGGTATTCTGTCATATATGTTAAGTCCTATCCAGTCAAGCATTTGTATCAAGATGTCCCTCAGTGCAAGTTCATCCACTGGTGTCTAGCCAGACTCTCTAGAGTCACTCCCTTAAAGTAATCATTTGCTACTAATTCCTTGGCTAGGGTTGGTGCCTGCTTCCAATTTCCCTCATTCTATGCTGGGTTTTTGTCTGATTGAGTTGGCATGGGGCTTGTGCATGCTGTCACCATTGCTGCAAGTTCATGAGCAGGTTTCCAGAGGCCTTAAAGCTTCTGCTTCCTCATGTTAATGTGCCAACCCTGGCTCTACAATATTTCCATTCCCCTCTTCCACAACAGTCCCTGAGGCATAGGTAGGTGAGGTTTAGTATAGGAATTCTATCCAGGGACATGGGCTCTGCAGTCTTTAATCTCTAAAACTTAGCAAGTTATGGACTTCTATGTGCATCACTCTTTGTTGAAGGAAGCTTTACAGGTGAGAGTTGAGGGATGTATTAGTATTCTCTTTAACTCCTGTTCCACTATGTTCCATGAGCCTTGGGTGTAGAGGTTCCACTGTAGATGTCACTTAGAGCTGGGCATCTCTCAGATGTGTATTCTCTGTGTGTGTCCAGTTGTGGAACTCTGTAATATCCTCCATTTGTTGCAAAAAGAAGCTTCTTTGATGAGTGGTATATGGTATACTCATTTGTAAATATAAGGATCCATATTTAGCATGCAGTAAGAAATTTCATTTGTCTAGAGATATGACAGAGATAGGGTTTTCTCTGGGATTTATGACCTCTCTAGCCATATGTGTTTGACTATATTTACATTGCCACCCATGAGTTCCCTGCCATTGAGAGGGCTTTAAGTCCAATTATTTAAGTGTTGACTGTTGCTTAAATAAAAGTACAACCACTGTGCCAATACAGACAGTTTGCTTGGCCAGGCCTTGTGGTCATTAGGTTTTAGAGCTGGGTTGGACCATTGATTGATTTTCTCCCTTAGCAACTTGCATAGTATCCTCTAGAACTCTGAGAGCTAGTCCTCAGGGAGAAGGCTTTCAGGTCAGTTCCAGCTCAAGAGTCCAAACTCTGTGTCTGAAGTATGTCCTGTCTTCAGCAGGAGGATCTTGCCTTCAAGTTCTGGGAGGTAATCAAAGTCTTTGGGAATAGCCTCTGCTATTTTGGGAGCCTCTTGGACTACTCTGACCAACAACTCAAAGGGAGGTTTCTCCTGCCTGATACCATGTTTTTTGTTATGTAACCTTCAGGTGTACACGTGCACTCATGTTCAGATATTATATGTGTATTTTTTAGGGGGGAGTTTGAGTTAGTATTTTCCCTTTGACTTTTTTAAACCACCTAAGTTCATTCTC